CCCCTCTTTGGGGACATATTTTCAGGTGCCCAGATTCCCAGTGAGTCCTCACTAGGCAGGGACACGACACGTGGCTGAGGCAGTTGACAGACCGGATTTTGAGTGGCTGTAGGCTACTACCTTTTTGGAGTGTTTGATGTATTTTAGTATTTTCGCATTTGATGGATCATGATATTGATCCTTTATTTTGTATATGGCATGTATATGTTTTGTACACGTCTGTCGCTTTGATGCATGTACATTTGGGTATTCAGGCACGTTATGTGATGAGGTAGTATTCAGATATGTTTACCTGTTGGATTGCATGCTGTTAGATATAGTGGCACTGAGCCAAGTTATGCATGCGCCCATGGATGGGCATTTGAGTATATTTGTATAAACTGTTTATCAGGAAATGCTTCTGTGTGGGATTGGAAAATCCCCAGTTGTCCGATTTATAGAGGAAACTCTGCCCGATTTTCGTTTACGACGAATGAGAATTTAAAAAGAAAAAGAAAAAAAGTTAGCTCGTATTTTCAGAAGTTAAGTCTTCCGCTGTTTTCTGTTTTATCATATGTATGTTAATTGAACCGGCTCGAGACGGGGATGTTACAATGTCTCTAAATGTTACCAACTTCATGGCAAACCACCCTATGGTCGGGGTAGAGGACGTGGCAAACCCTATGACAAAAGGAACTACACAATTAGTTCTCCTGCACCACAAACCGCAGCTGCCATACCTACGTTTTCCAACCCGAATTTCGTTCCAAATATGACTCCTGAGATTCTTCAGCAGATTGCCAACATGGTTGTCTCTCCCTCTACACCCTCTGCTAATACTACAACACTTTCTGGTAAGCACATTCCAAATTGCACCTGGTTAGTGGATAGTGGTGCTTCTCAACACATGACTGGGAATCTTCAATTAATCTCAAATGTTGAATCCATTCCACCTACTTCCATAGGCTTACCAGATGGTGATCAACTCGTATCAGTTCAACGAGGAATTTTTCAGTTGACATCCAATATTATTCTTTAGGATGTGTTATATGTTCCACAATTAAAATGCAATCTTATCTCAGTTGCTCAATTACTTGCTGATACAAATTGCATTATTTCTTTTACTCACACTGGATGTGAATTGCAGGACCCCACAACGAGGATCAAGATTGGACTGGGTAGATTGCAGGCTGGTGTTTATGTGCATGACTCCTTAAATAAAAGATCCTCCCTTACTGCATGTACTGCTCAAAAACAACAGACTGCAGATATTTGGCATCGTCGCTTGGGTCATCCGTCGTTTCAGTCCTTGCATTTTCTCCCTTTTGTTACAATGAATAATCATAAGGAAATTTCTTCTTCAGTATGCGATATTTGCCTTAGAGCACAACAAACTCGCACTGTATTTCCTGTTAGCATTAATAAAACTACTTCATGTTTTGATCTTATTCATTGTGACATATGGGGTCCATATCAAACTGCTTCTTTAACTGGTGCAAGATATTTTTTAACTATTGTGGATGATTTTAGCCGAAATGTCTGGGTTTATTTAATGAAGACTAAAACTGAAACGTTCCAATACTTATCTCAGTTTCTCTTGATGGTTCGTACTCAGTTCAATGCCAATGTCAAAATAATACGATCCGACAATGGTTCAGAGTTCTGTGCTACTAATCTTCGTAAGGTTTACTCAGACATGAGGATTATACACCAAACATCATGTGTGGACACACCACAACAAAATGGACGAGTCGAACGGAAACACAGACACATTTTGAATGTAGCACGGGCACTACGCTTTCAAGCTCATCTTCCCATTGAATTTTGGGGAGAATGTGTTCTCACTGCTGTTCATCTAATCAACAGGACCCCGACACCTCTTCTTCAAGGACAGACTCCATTTGAACGCCTTTTTAATCGTACACCAAACTACGATCACATTCGTGTCTTCGGATGCCTTTGTTATGCTCATCCACGTCCCAAATCGTCAGACAAGTTTGCTGCAAGGTCAGTCCGATGCCTGTTTCTGGGATACCCTTTTGGCAAGAAAGGATGGAGGCTTTATAACCTTGATACACAGACCATATTTGTCTCTAAAGATGTGGTATTTGAAGAAACCATCTTTCCCTATGAAACCCAAACAGAAACTCCTACCAACATTGAAGTTTCCCAACTGATGCAGTCTCATGTTGAAGCAGAACCAACACCGGCTGCACACGACACATCTTCTTCCACTCAATCAGTTGATTGCGAAATTGCACCACATCCTACAACTCCTGCAGATGTTGACCAACGCTCTTTACCTTTGGTTGCACACTATGAACAGTCCATACTACCAGGAACTGTTACATCAGATAATCTAGTCGACCAACATGAACAGTCTCAAATACCATCAACTACTGCATCAGAAACTTTGGGTCGTGGTCATCGTTCTCGCCATCCTCCCAAATATCTCAAGGATTATACATGCACCAATGTCATAGCACATAATCCAGCAGCCTCTTCTACCTCCTCCAGTCTATCCTCAGGTATTCCTTATCCCATTGCTAACTTTGTTTCTTGTTCTAAATTTTCTCCCGAACATCAACAGTTTCTTGCTGCCATTTCTTCTGGAGTCGAACCTAAATCATTCAAAGAAGCTGTCACAGATGAACGATGGCGTTTAGCAATGCGAAAGGAAATTGATGCACTTGAGCAAAACAAAACATGGGAGCTTACTTCTTTGCCACCTGGTAAACGTGCAATCCCTTGTAAGTGGGTCTACCGCATCAAATACAATTCAGATGGTACTGTGGAGCGATTCAAAGCACGGCTGGTAATTGCTGGTAATAATCAAATACCTGGCGAAGATTACTTTGACACATATGCTCCTGTAGCAAAGATGGTTAGTGTGAGGACACTTCTGGCAGTAGCAGTTGCCAAGAAGTGGAAATTATACCAGTTAGATGTTACAAACGCCTTCTTACACGGAGATCTTAAAGAGGAAGTTTATATGCGAGTTCCTCAAGGCTTCCAGCATCACAAACCCCATCAAGTATGCCGCTTATATAAATCACTCTATGGATTGCGGCAGTCCCCCAGAAATTGGTTTGCTAAGTTGCGGTCATCTCTTGAGTCCTACGGTTTTACTCAATCTAAGGCTGATTATACTTTATTCACCTTACACAAGAATGGTCACTTCATCGCTCTTCTCATCTATGTTGATGATATTATCTTAACTGGGGATGATGCAACCACATGCAATGCTGTCAAAACTTTCCTCCACTCATGCTTCCATATCAAAGATTTGGGGATTTTAAAATATTTTCTTGGAATAGAAATGGCTCACAGTTCTTCTGGTCTCTTTCTAAGCCAACGAAAATATGCTCTCGACATATTGGAAGATGCTGGCCTCCTTGCATGCAAACCTTGTGACTTTCCTCTTGAAACAAATCATAAACTTGCTATTACAGAAAGTCCCACTTTCTCGGATCCAACACGGTACAGAAGGCTCATAGGACGTCTAGTTTATCTGACTATTACCAGACCCGAGTTAAGCTACTCCGTCCATGTTTTATCGCAATTCATGCAGAATCCCACCGAAGCTCAATATGAAGCTGTCTTACGTATTTTGCGATACATAAAAGCTAACCCCGGTCAAGGATTACTGCTTCAATCAGAAAATGACCTTCTTCTTCGAGCTTATTCTGATTCTGATTGGGCTAGCTGTCCACTTACCAGGCGATCAGTCACAGGCTATTTTATTATGTTAGGCACTTCCCCTATCTCTTGGAAAACAAAGAAACAGCCTACAATGTCACGCTCCTCTGCAGAGGCTGAATATCGCGCAATGGCAGCAGCCACAGCTGAGTTATTATGGATCAAATCGTTCTTAAACTCTCTTGATGTTCCCCATTCACAGCCAATGCTTTTACATTGTGATAACCAATCTGCTATGCAAATAGCTGCTAATCCAGTGTTCCACGAAAGCACCAAGCATATAGAAATCGATTGTCATTTTGTGCGAGATCATGTTTTACGAAATACAATCGCTACTTCTTATGTTCGTTCCGATCAGCAGATTGCAGACATCTTTACCAAAGCCCTTGGCATGAAGCAATTCGGTTTTCTTCGCAGCAAGTTGGGCATTTCTTCATTACATGCTCCAACTTGAGGGGGAGTGTTAGGATAAGATCACCTTTGATCTTATTCTTCAACTAATGAAGACCAAGTCTTTAGGAAGAGTTTGTTAATATCTTGTATCTGTATAGTTTGGTTAAGATAGTTTGTTTGTTCTCCATATAGTATTGTTACGATAGTATTAGTATTGTTACGATAGTTTGTTATCGTTTGTTGTCATTTGTATATATAATTGACTATCTGCCACAAAGCAATACAACACTTATCATTCAATCCTTTCATACTTTTCTATACTATCAGTTTAACACACTACTTTTAGTTCTTAGTAAAGATTCGAAATTTTAGTTCCACTTCAAAAGTTTCATAAAGAATGCCAAGTTGCCAACTCTTTTTTCTCTCTTCCTTTTTAATTGACATGAAATTAATACAAACTCGGGAAACAGGGCAGGAGAAATTCTTAGTTAATACAACCTGACTCTAATAAGAATTTTTGTATAATGGGCAACGTTCATCAGATTTCTACATCCTGCTTTTTTTTGGTTGAGATTCAAGTGAGGACCGACCACTGGGATGAGCCATTGGGCCATGGAGAACCCCACAGGGAACCCGAGAGAGAGAATGCAGAGTGTAGTTCAAGTAACTCATTCACTGTCTTACATGTCCCACAACTCTATCAAGCGATTTGTCTCAAGGGGACTCCATATCATACTTTACACACAAAAGATTTTGAAGGTTTTTTTTATTAGGAAAAAAAAAAATGGAAGAAATATCTATGCCACTTCATCTTCAATCGTTTCTTCCACTCAACTAGTTAAAAACTCGAAAACTAAACTGCTCTGCAATCAAAGCGCTAATTAGGACATCTACGAGTCACCCTTCAAGAAAATTAACTCACTTATAAAATTGAAAGCAAAAAAGTAGTGTGTCTATTTATTATCTGTTAGTAACAAATCATACTGATTACATTTTCAGGGAATGCAGAAGAAATTCAATTTGCACCATGATTACTCTGATGACAATGATATTGCTTGTTACTTAAAGAACAAATTAGCTTAACTCGATGAAAGCAGGAATGTTTTGTACATACCTTGCAAACACGGCGTTACACACAAACCAATGTTACAGATTATAAAAAATATTTCATCCTGTCATCCCTCCTCATGGCATTATATACAGCTTGGACCTGAAAAATGCAACAATATTCCATATCAAGATGTATTCACCCAGCCTCGATTGCATGGAGAATCAACCTACGACTAAACATCTAATAAATGTAAATAATATCTTAACATATCCTGCCCGCCAGCTCACGCACACCCCGAAGCTTTCTTTCTTTCTTTTCCCTCACGTTCTTTTAGTTGAAATAAGCTAGAAAGATTAACTTTAGAGTGAAGGAAAGAGGGTGTGGAACAAGACAGAAAGACCTGTTCACTGGAAACAACTTGAATCGGCCCAATATTTACAGATACATATTTTCCCCCTGAAGATAACTTCTGCCTCACATTTCCCTGCATCAAAATGTTAAAAATTCAAGCAGATCAGATGTCAAACGCCATTTCAAAAATGAGCCTCGCGGGTAAAAGTATAGATGCAATATACAGTTAAATCAAGCAATATTCCACAATCTTCATGTAGAAAACTTTTGAAGGCAATTAAATCCACATGATGATGTGCTCAACTGCTCATAATCATAACCCAGAAAGTAAAATAATTGTAGTTAAAAAAAAAAAAAAAAATTAATGCTCAGCATATATTTTATGTGATCAATACTCGGTTGGCAATGAACTAGCAACCAGTCCAGTTCGCAAGTTCATACTTGTAATGGACTTCCAGCACTACACAACATCTTAGTGTTCATTAAAGTCACAATCGAATTCATCCAAAACATTCTTCAGTGCCAACCAGGGCATAATTATTGATTTTAACAGTTTCTAAAGCCAAGTTTGTGCCATGTTACTACAGTAAATGTTTCTCCAAAAGCAGGAAAAATCATCAACCCCTTGACCATTATCTTGATTGAAAACTGAAATATAATTAAGGTTCACTTAAAAGTTTGTTTAACTTTAGCCTGTGACAGCATATCATCAATAATCATTACCAAAGCCTGCAGAATTTTACCAATTTAAGATCCAGTCACAATATAACAAGCAACACCTGCAAACCTTTAGCTGACTTATAGTTGCGTTTAAGATGATAGAAAAGTTTCACTTTCACTCTAACTGTGAGTGTGTGTGAGAGAATGAGCTGGTAGCCAGGCTTTAGCCTATTTAGGACTTTACACAGATGATATGAAAAAGACTGATACTTTTCCTTCCATTTGAGCACCAGCTAGAAGATATTTTATGGACTTTCCCAACTCATTTTGGAAACTAAAAGTGCACGCTTGAAAGTCTTTTCACAATGTAAAACGCTTTGATAAAAATTCTTCATTATGCAGGGTCATGATAGGTCCCTTTTTCCATGTCAGTGCTCGTTAAATATCTCTATTCATAGGTATATTTCAAGCTCCGTACCCCAATTACAGAGTTTGGAAACTTTAAAAAGCTATATACCTAAGTGCAACGGGCCCAGTTTTTAAATACAATAAGGTGTTTGGTAACTACCTAAATTTTTAAAAACTGGTTCTAATGAAAACCAATTTTCAGATAAAACTAGTTTTTAAACAAGACATTTCGAAGTTGGTTTTTTGGGTCCAATTTATTCAAACTCTTTCTCTACCTTCAAACAAAATGTATGGCTTTGTGCCTTCGTCCTTGGAGTGCTATTTTACAAGCTCAGCAAACAACAAAATTACTACGTTACCCACAGTAAACATCATGTGGAATTCAAGAGGAAACCGATCCACAGACAATTAGATTGATAACAATGCAAACTTAACCCTACAGTAAGAACACCAGTAATAAAAATACAAGGCACGCACAAATTTGCCCAACCTGTAATCTGGATCATACCGTAAAAATACATGTTATTTGGTTCATATTATAAACTAGGACATCAATGAGTAAACGTTTCCAAGAAAAGTCCAATTTCTAGAAATGACTTTATATATATATATATATATATACCTAACCTGAGGAATTGGTTGTTGGATTACAGATTCCACAGCAACAACCATAGCTTGCACAAAATCGTCACCTCCAGTTCCTATGGCAGTAAATCCTCGAACAGTTGGGTACGAGTTCACCTGTGCAGCACATTATTTGTTATTCACAGGGCAAATATTGTAACTATGTATTTCTGAATACAAATACTGAATACTAGAAGCTATGAAATGAAAACAAAACAATCCCATTGAAAGTTAGTGGAATAAAACCTTCTGGTCCAATGCGAGCCATTCATTGGTAGAATCATCGGCGACAGTGCCACCAATAACCATATTTGCAGGTTGGCTTAAACTCCCTTCGATCTTGGAAACCTCTGTAACAAACCCACAACATATTATGAAATTTGAATTTTCGGTATCGATACGAAATTGTTGAAATTACCTGAAATGGCCTCCAACACAGGTTGTTGAGGGGGATCTTGATCGTCGTGAGACGGCGGCGTTTCATTGTAGGAGCAAGAGAGAGGTGGTTTTGGAAGATTAAATTGACGAGCCCTACCCCTAATGGTTCTGAGCTTATTGCATTTGAAGTGTGAAGCTATGTGATAGTGATTAAAACTGAAATTGAAAGGAGGGTGTAAGAAGGGTTGTACAAGTATGGCGGAACGAAGCATGCTCCTGCAAGCCATTTTTCTTTCTGCTTTTCTGGTAATCCCCAATCGTTTCCATCCAATATAAAAGTTGTCTCTTTCCCTCCGTTTTGTCCCAAAAATCAAGGCAAAAAATCCTAATGTTATTTTTCAAATGTATCTCCATCCTAGAACACATGTAGGTTTGAGTCAAACACGTAGGTTTGACTAACGAGATAAGTCCCGCCAGTGAGAGAGACGAGATCAGAAGCCACGTAGGAAGCCCAACCAATCGCGTCAGTCCATGTCACGTGTTTTCCACGTATCCCGCCACCTGCTGTGACATGTACCAGTCCCGCCATGTCAGTTGGCGAGACTAAGCCACGTGTGTGACACATCCGCAGTTCTTTTTTTTTTTGGAAATAATAGGAAATTAAAACAAAAACACAACAAAAAGAAACTAGGCACAAAGCCTAGACCAGTGAACACCTATAGTGTCACTATACAGACTATCAATACAACCTGACGGTGGACAATCAAATTCCTGAATTACCCAAGAGAAACCATAAGAGTAAGAGGCTAGAAAGTCCGCTACTCTATTTCCTTCACGGTGAATGTGAGACATATAAATCTGCCAATCTCGCTGCATCAAATTTCGAATACGATTCACCAAATTAGCCGCAGGGTAATCATGGTGGCACCCATTTGTAATGAGCTGTTGAGCTGAAAGAGAATCTCCTTCGAGCCAAACTTGCCTAAAACCTCTATCCCAAGCTAGCTCCAAACCAACCAAGCAAGCCCATAACTCAGCATGCAAAACTGTACCTGAGCCTAAATTTTTACAGAATCCGACGATCCAAGTTCCTGAGGCATCGCGAAAAACTCCTCCACACCCAGTCCTAGTACCATTAGCATCACATGCACCATCAACATTAAGCTTAACCCAATCCACAGGAGGACAACACCAAGCAACCAATCTCTCTATTCGATTCCTTGGTTGATTGCCCGCTCCAAAAACAGGGTTAGCTGCAAGAGCGACACTATCTCTGAAACCAATTGTTGAACGGATAAGTGAATAAGCATTCTGGCGATCACCTTCAAAAACCCAAGAATTCCTACATTTCCAAATTTTCCAGGCTAAGATTCCAAATAAAAGAGGCCAGTCCGACCCCATCCCCCAATCCTTTGAGCTGTCTAAATTAGAAATGATCCAATTGTGCAGGTTGAGGTTGAAAAATTCACGCTGATTTATATGAGGCATTATCATGCACCATACTTCCTTTGATTGTGGACAGTCGCGAATAGTATGAAGGATAGTTTCACTAGACTGATTACATCTAGGACACAGATCTGAAAGAGCCATATGGCGGCGGAGTCTACAAACATTAGTCATCAGCTTCTCCCCTGCCATTAACCAAAGAAAAAAGCGAATTCTTTCTGGCCCCTGCCATCTCCAAACACTTTCCCAAGGAAACTGTTGGATTGTAGTATCTTTGATGGCTAATATTGCATATGCTGACTTAACAGTAAACTTGCCATCTGTCGTTCCATTCCAAATTAAATGATCCTGGCCATCTTGACTAGAAGGAGGAAGAAAATTCATAAATCGATGCAGCACAGAATCTGGAAGCAATTGTCGAAGAGAATTCCATTTCCATTGCCCCAATTCATCCACGTAGTCCACCACCTTCTGAAGAGTATCACTAATAGAAAACTGAGAACCTGCATATGAGATCAAAGGACCACAATCGGGCAGCCAGCTATCAAGCCAGAACATAGTGGACTGACCATTGCCTAACTGCACCCGACTATGATCCATTATAATATTCCAATGACGCGTAATTCCCTTCCAAAGCTGGGAGCTGTTGTTTGGAGCATGAATAATTGGTGTCATGCCTGCCTCCACATTGTACTTAGCACGTAAGAACTTTGACCACAAGGCATCTGGATGAGCTACAAGGTTGAACCCAACCTTCATGATAAATGCTGAGTTCATTTCCCTCATACTCCGCAGTCCAAGGCCTCCATTTTTTTTATCCATGCAAATCTGCTTCCAGGCCACAAGATGAGAACGTCTAGAGTGTGGAGATGAACCCCAAACAAAATTTTGAATCTTCCTATCAATCTCTTCACAGGTGACTTGCGGTATGAACACACCTGCATTGGATATGATGGGATTGCTAATAACACTGCTTTAGATAATGTAACACGACCTGCTAGAGATAGACTGGCATGATTCCAAGCAGCAATTCTAGAATTCATTCGATCCAAAACATAAGAGAAAGATGACCGACCCACTCGCTTATGATGCAAAGGAATTCCCAAGTATCTTCCAAGATCCGCAGTCAAAGAAAAACCAAGAAGCCCACTAAGATAGTTTGCTTGAGTATGACCCACATTCTGAGAAAAGAAAACTCTAGTCTTACTATGATTGACTTTTTGACCAGATGAATCACAAAATATATGTAAGGCCTGTTGAATTATTAACACTTGCTCTTGAGAAGCTTCTGCAAACAAAAGGAGATCGTCAGCAAAAAATAAGTGGGAAATTTGTGGAGCTCCCCTTTTAATCCTCACTGGCTTCCACCTCCTGTGATCCACTGCCTGAGAAATGAGATGGGCTAGTCTTTCCATGCAGAGGACAAAAAGATAAGGAGAAAGAGGATCTCTTTGTCTTAAGCCTCTAGTTGGCCGAAATTCTTTAGTACAAGCCCCATTCCAAAGAACATTCATAGTGCAAGATGAAACACACAACATAATTAGTCTTATCAAATTTTCAGGAAGCCCTACATCATATAGGGTATCCTGAAGGAAATTCCAACTGATCCTATCGTATGCTTTCTCAAGATCAACCTTGATCGCCATCCAACCTTTAGATCCTCTCTTTTTCCTCATTGAATGGATTAGCTCTTGAGCAATTATGACATTATCCGTACCTTGTCTACCTCTGATAAAACTGCACTGATTAGGCATCACTAGCTTGTCCATCTGCAATTTTAAACGGTTAGCAACAATTTTTGTTACCGTTTTATAAATAACATTACACAAGCTAATCGGACGAAAATCCTTGAAAGTATGAGGATTCTCAAGTTTAGGAATCAAGCAAAGAAGAGTCTGATTCACTTCTTCTATACGACTAGGATCATTGAAGACTCCCTTAATGAAATTACAAACAGAGCTCTCCACTACATCCCATTGGCTTTGAAAAAATATGCTATGAAGACCATCAACACCAGGCGCTTTAAAAGGCCCCATTGAGAACACTACTCCTTTAATCTCTTGACTACTAGGGCAGCTCTCAAGAGCCATCATAACTCTCCTTTCCATTTCTGGAAATTTGTTCCTAATGGGAAAATTAGGCCGGAGAGGAATATCTTCCTTATATAAATTATCATAGTATTCCACTGCCATACTCATGAGAAGAGAAGGGTCAGCAATCCAATCCCCGACATCATTTTGAAGGGCATCAATCCTATTCCTCCTACGCCTGGCAACTGTTGCTGAATGAAAGAATTTAGTATTACGGTCATCAAACCGAATCCAGTCAGTTCTAGATCTTTGGTACCATGTAATCTCTTCTCTAAGATAAATAGTATTTAACTATTGCCAGATCTCTTTCTGCAGCCTCTCCAGAGAATGACAAGGATGTTGACTTAAGCTATAATCAATTCCACGGAGGCGAGAATGAAGATTATTTTTTAACTTCTCCTCCTCCTTGTAACAATCCTTATGCCAGGATGTGGCTTTCTCTCGAAAGTTTTCACTAGATGCTTTCCAATTGTGACCACCTGCCCAGCACCTCTTCACTAGATCAGAGAAAGAATTACATTTTTTAATAGTTATTAAATCAACTTAATATGTTTTTTCTTAGGTTTTATTCATTAACATGAGATATGCAATTATATAATTATTAAAACAATTATTACGATTTCAATAATTAATAATTGTAATTATTATAAATATATTAATCTAAATTACTATTTCAGATTAATGTTTATAATTTTCAATATTAACAACTTAGTTTTCTAACATGGTTTTTAAAGCATTGTAAATTTCAATATGATTACTGTTAATCAGGTCACTAATTAAAATTACAACATAATTATGACATTAATCACTGTTTACCAAAAGCCAAAATTACATTGATTAATAATTATCTTAGGAATAATTTTTTGATGCCTACTAAGGATTCCAAAATTATTTTTCTTAATTAATGCAGAATATTTGAAAAGGGCTTTAATGACATGATTATTATTTAATTATTAAACTAATGATGACTAAGTTAACATATGCAAGTTTGTTATAATTATTATATTTGATTAATATTAATATTTATTTTATTTATTAATTACGCAAACAAATGGGCCACTATTTACTAATTAAAAAAAAACAAATTTACTAATTAAAATTGCATTTACTAATAATTATTAAAAGAACCATTACCATTTATTGAATTAGTTAAATATTATTCATGCTATTAAATCCTTTATACAAAATAATTTATTAACATTACAATGTTGCAAAAAATGCTTTAGGACAATATAATTAATGTAATTGGCATGATTCAATAGTAATTCATGTTTTTATTAGTATTTGGGGTGGCTGGAACGCGTCACAAGAACTGCGGATGTGTCACACACGTGACTTGGTCTCGCCAACTGACATGGCGGGACTGGTACATGTCACAGCAGGTGGCGGGATACGTGGAAAACACGTGACATGGACTGACGCGATTGGTTGGGCTTCCTACGTGATCTCGTCTTTCTCACTGACAGGACTTATCTCGTCAGTCAAACCTACGTGTTTGACTGCTCTAGTATGGCCATTCTTTTCAAATGTGTTTTAGGATGGAGATACATTTGAAAAATAACATTAGTACAGATTTTTTGCCCAAAAATCAAAGGAGGAGAAATATGCTTTTTTTTCCCCTTATATATTCTTAAAAATATTATCAACTTTGTACAAACTTACAAACATTGTCAATTTGAATTGTATTTAACTGTTTTAGTTTATTAATTACGTGAATGATTAAATAAAGTGCTTTTGGTTTGTTTTTTATTTTATTTTATTTTACATGAGAATTGTTTTATTATATTAGGGGTTTAGTTTTCTTCTTTTATACGAGAAAATCAGTATTTTAAAATCCGGCTCAGACCTGCCAGGTCGACCCGGGACTCGGTAACCCAGTGGGTTTTTCGGTCCGAGCGGGTAGTTGGACCGTTTCTGCAGTCAACCCGGATTGGACCGTTTCTGCAGTCAACCCGGATTGGACCGGTTGACCCGGCCGAAACCCGGTGACCCGGTTGACCCGGGTTAGACCGGTTATTACTTTTTTTTTTTTATAAGAACTCTTGAATTAAATCATATTCATATTTTATGATGAATATGATTAAAAGTAAGGTGAAAATAATAAGGTATTTTAGATTAGTGCAGTTCGTTTATGTAATTTAGTTGCATCTTATAATGATCTCATGAAGTTAAGTGGTGATCAACATTGATGGTCTCATGATCTCATCTCAACAGTGGACACTTTTTTTTAGTGTATATTTCATGCATACTATTTGTTATCATGATAACGGTGACACTTTTTTCTTAGTATATATTTCATGCATACTATTTGTTATCATGATTTAATTTAATTTATCCGTATCATGTCAAGCACAAAAGGTGCATTTAACTTATATTACAATTTTAATCCAATATTAGGATATGGTATAGAGCTAGAAGCTTAGAAGTATATAATATTTGCTATCATTTAAAATCAATTTATTTTTTGAAGCTCATTGATAGTTTTCTTATGTGAATTTTTATTAATATAAGTAATATTTTTATATTTTTAATATGTGAACAATAAATCTAGTTGAACCAGTGACCCAGTACCTCGACCGGTTTGATGACCGATTCGAGTTTTAAAACACTGCAGAAAACTACTCTCCTGTGGCTGACACAAGATAATAGGTGAGAGAAAAATAACCTAAGATGGGACTCATTTATAATTGTATCTGATGGAAAGAGTTATTTTTTTCAATAACAAGAGAAAATGATTCCCCTAATAATAATAATAATAATAATAAGAGTTTCGATTTTCTTATGTGGTAGGAGAATTTTTTTTTCATATTATAGACACATCTTATGTGAGACCCACATCTATTAAAAAAATAAAAAAACAAAAAAAAAATTGTACGAAAATCGAAGAGTCATTAGTAGGAGAAAACAACTCTCCTGTAACACGAGAAAATAATAGTAATAGGTGATTGGATGGAAGGTCACTGGTGATTTAGACTAGGATTTTGATTTGATAATATTTACAAGTGAAAAATATTAAAGATAGAAAAGGAAATTGTAATTATTCAAAAAAAAAATGGAACTTGTACATGTCTCTATATTTTAAAAGAAACCATGATCTCTAAAAACAACTGCTATGTATCACGGAAGAAATCATGGGGGGGTTGGAATTTGGATCATGTGGAAAAAGGAGATCAAATTTGATAGCTGGTGTGAATTGGATTTTGGGGATTGTAATGAAAATAAGCCTTTGGAAGGTGTACAAGAGGAAGATTTTAAGTCGTGTTAATAAATTTTGTGTGGTTGATTACGCCTTATCAATTTTAAGGGATCAAATACACTTGAAACATAATTTAAGGGAATCAAATGATGGTAGCTCAGTTGGCGTATGAAAGTTAAACCGTTAAGAAGGATATCTGTGGTTTATCTAAAAAAAAGACATAGTTTAAAGGATGAATTATATTGGAACCCTAAAACTTATGCTATTAGAAGTCAAAGGTTGAAAACTATTTTATCAAAAATGTGATAACTTTGAAAACGAAACTATGTTTATTGTAAAACATATGTACCTATACCCCCAACAAAAAAAAAACACGTAATGAATCTTACAAGGAAATTTCATACTATAAAATATCATTTTTTAGAGATTAAAAATATTTTTTGTTTTGGAAACTCTAACTCATTTATAAGATTCATCATTTTCATTTAAAATGTGATTTAGATGAAGGAGTTTGAAAAGAAAGAGGAAATACCTAATACTTTATATTTTGCAAATCTCATAAAGTAACTTAATGTTAGAATGTATCATTAACTAGAGATAAAAACAATTGATTAAAATATTTTAGGTTTTGAAAACTCATCAACAACAAAATGTTGGAATTATGTAATGAATAAGAAGATAATTGGAATAAAGAAGTGTAGTGAATATATAGCAGGTTAAGGAAATCTCACATTCGACGAAGTGAGCAATGGATAAGGCTTTATAATGCCTAGTCTTACTAAGTTAATTTTTTTTCTCGTGGAGCATTTGGTAGAGGAGAAGCTTTTTCATCTGGGAATCATGATTCTCAAGAATATGATGAGAAATTGAATTTATTGAGAATGTTACTAAAAATTCATTTGGTTGGCCAAAATATTTCCAAAAATATTGACTCAAGTTTCCTAATTCTTTTGATTGATTGTCAATTATTGTTGAGAATATAAAGTAATTTTACAAAACTACCCCTTATATTACTCGGAATATAAAGTAATTTTACAAAACAACACCCTTATTTTTATGGAAATAACATCTGTTATTTTAAAGGATATAAGATTATATCATTTTAGATCCTAACCGTTGATTTCTGTTCATCAACAGTTATAATTTATTGGATCAAAATTATTAATTAATTAATAATAAATTTGGCCCATTAAGTTTGACCCAATACATTATAACCGTTGATGGACGGAAATCAACGGTTATGATCTAAAATGATATAAGTTTATGGGAGTGGATCTTCTCATATGGAAAAGTAGTCATGTTATTTGATCACAATCACTCATTTAAAAATTATACACTTTTATCTCTCTTATCTCATCATCAATGAGTGGTTCTGATCATGTTTCGTATACGAGAGGATCCGCTCTCTAAATTTATATATCCTTTTAAAAGGATAAGGACAGATGTTTTTTCCAATTTTTATCGGTGAAATTTTAACATTCTTTTTTAACATGAAAGGCCATAAATCAGAAATCCAGCGCTCCACCAAGGAAAGCAACAGCGTCCTAAAATCTCCGGTCCCTACAAATAGCTGAGAAATCAAAAATCAAAATGGAGAACATCTTCACTAAACTCCAAACACCCCCATCTTCCATCAGCCACTAAACACAACGCCGTATACGTGTACAATTCCACAACCACTTCTATCACTCTTTTCTTTCTCTGTTACTCAAACGACATTCACTAACGCCACAAATTCTAACCCCTCACAGATTAAAAATCCCACACTCCTCTTCTCTCTTTCTCTCTCTCTCTCTCTGTGTGTGTGTGTTCCTCTCCCTCTTGCAATCTTCATCTCTGAGCAAATGGGTCCAATCGTGTTGACCCAGTTGGCCACGGGTCTCAGCGTCTTAGCCGGAGCGGTTTTGGTCAAATCGGTCATGGACCGGAACACCATGGCTGGACCGTTCCCTCGTTGCCCCACGTGTAACGGAACCGGTCGAGTCAATTGCCTCTGTTCGCGCTGGTCCGACCGTGACATCGGGTGCCGAACATGTGCCGGTTCGGGCCGCATGGGTTGCAGCAGTTGCGGTGGAACAGGAACCGGTAGGCCCCTTCCGGCTAGAATCACAATACAGCCGCCGAACCGCCCACCTAGTTAGACCGGTTTGGTTTTTCTCAAAATTCGTTTACTCCTTTTATTAGTGTTAGATTCCAATTTCCCACCCTCTCTTTACAAGTTAAGATTTATTATTATTATTATTATTATTATTATAGTATTTTCTTTTCTTTTTCATTCCCTTCCGAAATCAACCTAATATGTTATTGTTAATGAAATGTATATAGTGCATGATGGAGGGTTATTGTAATAGTGGGGGAGATTATTAGTTTGTAATGACAACACTGTAATTAGATTCTTATAAAATTGTATAATTTTGCTCCTATGTGAAAGTATTGTGTGTAGTGTTGGCTCTCATTAAAAAGGTCTATCTGAGTTTATTTTGTTTCGATGTTTAGAAAGTTATTGACCTTACTAACAAACAAATTTTGGTTATTGCGCTAACCATGAATTGAAGAAAGGATTGAATTCTAAATTACTGTGTTATAAAAATTAATTATGTTATGAACTAATTCTTTTAAAAGCTTTAGTTGTTGCAAAATGCACATAAATAATTTTATTATATTCCTAGTAATTTATGAAATGAGCATATTAGGTAGCCTGTAACCAGAAAATTTCATATGATCCAGGACTGGACAATATTGATCAGTACACGTTTTAATTTTCATGGTTGACTGGTATTATGTTAGTGATATGTTTGTTTCAATTCCTCTCTAAGACCATTCTGGCTGAGGATGTCCTGGGGTTGAGTGGTGTTACTTCAATGATATAGTGTTTTAAGCTTATTGCTTGTTCATAGTAACAACAAAGGATGGTTATTAATGATAATGCATCATCTACTTTTCAAAAGCAACGCTGGATTTTCCCATTGTTCTTTTTATTTCTGAATCTTAGCCTTTTTGTCCTTAAACTCTTTTGTTAATAACAAATAATTAATAGTGTTCTATCCTCACTTGATTTTTGTTATCGCCACTCTTAGGTTCTTAGAGTAAAGTGTAGGGTGGTCAAGCCATTAAGAATACACTAGAGGTGAGAGGTTTGGATAGTTTACAAGAGGTTATAGGTTTTGAACGGTTAGTGTTAGTGAGCTTAGGTCTGTATTCTTTGATGGGTGAATTATATCGCTATGGATGTGCTCTTAGAGATAGTGATACAGACCAAAACTCTTAATGTAGTCATCGTGTGTATATCTCAATGATGAATGAGAGAGGGGGAATATGTAGTGGGTACGGTGACTTTATATTTTGGTAGAGTAACAACTCATAAATATGATGGATGCAAGATGCCCCTACAATGGGAATAAATCTTTGGTGCTACTGTAGTACCAAAGATTCAGTACATCCCACCAATTGAAATATTACATGTCAGCAAAAGTTCTTTTTTCTCTGTCAAATTTTTTTTCTCTCCTCTGATGTGTAATGCTCTTATTAGTGGGATGCACTGAATCTTGGTACTACAGTAGCACCAAACATTTATTCCTACAATGGGTGAAGGGAGATATATATAGGTGGGGAAATATTTCCAAATGATGAGAGAGAAGGAGCTATAACCGTTTTTTCCCAATATCTCACTGTTGTGTGTGAGGTGGCACATCACTAAGTGTACAATGGTGAGCTGTATTGTAGGGGAGAGATCTGAGATCCTCTATTATGAGGGTCTATGATTCTCACTTTAGGGAGACAGGGAAATAGCTTCTTAAATGAGTCTCTAAAGGGGCGTTTGGTTGAGGAAATATTTTTGGAATAGTAGGGAAATGTAATAGATAGAGAAATGATTGGAAAGATAGATTAAGTGAGATAGGTAAAAAAATGTAAAAAAAAGTTGTTTGCTGAGGAAAAACTTTACTGGAAAAATTAGGTAACTTTATGAAATCAACAGTGCATTAAAAGCCAGATAACCGGTTTTCCGAAAAATCCCACCTTCAAATTGGGTTTCTAAACAGTGCGGATATCTATGTTTCTCATAAATCCATACAAATTGGATAGATGGGTTTTTGGTGAAAATACGTTGAAACAAACATGGTGTTTCTAAAAGCCATACTTGAGAAACATATATATCCGCTGAAAAGCTCCCAACCAAACACCACCTAAAGGCCGTTCCGTGGATTTAGGTTGTGAGGCCTGTCCAGAACAGATTTGAATCCAAGTTCCATCATTGGAAAAAAAAAAAAGTGCATAATGATCCATAATGGGTGGATACTTACAAAAGGAATTCTAACACTCAAATCAATTACGATTTTGACAAAATGATAGTTCAAAAGTGAAAAAAAAAGAATAACTAAATTCATTATGGTACCCTTATTTATAATAACTAGATGACAAATGAAATTTTTCTAGGGTATTATAAGTGAAGACTAGAGTATTAAAGCTGATATCTTTACTTAACTTGAGGAACGGAATTTCTATGGGCATCGAGGGTAAGGCTTTTGCCAGAGGGTAAGCTCCAAAGGATCCATAGACCCCCATAAGTGCAAGGACTTTTTGAAGGTTGAGATGTACTATTGCTATTTGATACGTGAAAGATCTTTCATGTTTTAGCTGTGTTTGGTTGGAATTATTTATTGTTTTTGTTGGTCTTCTTCTTCTTCTTCATCCTTTGTTTTTTCTTTTTTCTTTTTATGTTTTGAGTAATTGGGCTCGTTACACTCAGATAATGTTTGGAAAATGCTTTTTGTATAGTTTTCCTCCACTGATTCTCTTCTAGCATTCTGTGTTATATTATATGTTTTTATTGGTAGAAGTATTGGTGTAGCCCTTTCCATCAATGGCACTAGACGTTTGTTGTATGTGATTGGTCTTGCTTTATTGCTCATGCCTAATTTTGTGCGGCATTTGATGTTGGTTAGTGGAGAAGGTTTCACATTTTCATCTCCGCATTATGATTCTTCTGTGTTGCATTTAATATTGTTCAGTGGAGCAGTTTCACATTTTTTATTTCCTCACTGAATCCGTCAGTAGTTTCCTTGAAGAGATGCCTTATAAATAGCTTTCTTTTCACTTCTATATTTTTACTCACCTTCTTTGCTTTTGTTTGGTTGTTAATGAGAATATCCATCGATATCTTGTTTTAATGAAAAGGTGGTGTTTTTTGGTTGGCTCCTCCTCATCAGTGTCAGGCATGTGGATTATCTTCATGTGATACTTGCCACTATTTATGAATTATGATCACGAGGATAATCTGCATGCTTAACATAGGTGGGAGAGCCTAGGTGTTCCTAGATGTTAAGGAATTATTTTCCTCAGTTCCGGCTCGATATCGTATGGAGATTTTAGCAACAGCACCTTCTATTATTATGGTTGTTAACACAAACAATCTAACGAAAAATCTGTCGGTTGTGTTTTTTGTTGCTTTTAAAAAAAAAAAAAAAAAAAAAAAACTGTTTTTTGAAACAGATTTCAAACAGGCCCAAATCTAAGCAATTCTTTCTCTTTTTTTTCCCTTTTCTTGCATTCTCTCATTTGGCTAGGCACTCTGACTTTTTGGTTTTATGTTTTGTTTCATTTTTTATACGAATATTCTCCTATATATTTAAGTTGTGCTTAATTTGCCATATACTATTCTCGTCTCAATGTATTTGAGTATTTTATAATTTGTTGTCATATAAGTTACACCTACGAGTATGAGTTAATTTTAACTTGGATAAATTAGGGTTGAAGAGAAAAGCCCCTAGCTTGGAGATTCGTGAAGCGGACATTTCGTTCAAGCTTGGAAAACCAAGGGTAAATTAAAACATGATTTGTGTTTCGAAATTGATATTTTATAAGAATAAATATATTTTAAAAAATTGAGAGTTTCACACGTAGAAATAATTCTACTCATCAAAATATTGAAAAAATTCGTTTCTTTCAAAACCAATTTTGCTTACTACAGAATTATTTTAAAATAAAAAAAAAATCTTCAAAACGAACTTTAGGACTATGGAACCTCAATTTAATGACCGTGAAGACAACTACTTTGACAACCAAACAGGATGTGATGCTAATTGGAAATGCGTTATGCACGGTCCCAAAACGAAAAGTCCAGAGTTTTCTGTTCTCTGCAGGAGATAATACAGACCACAAAACAGGAACCAGGTTCTTGTGCATCTATCAACTAATAGGCCCAGAACTTACCTATCCAATTTGAATAACCCATCTTATTGTTAACCCACTTCCATTACACAATCAGTATCATGTTCCTCCGTCTGAATACTGGGGAAATAAACCCTTTCAACAGCTGTATACGCATAGTACTTAACATCAAACCTATTTGTACGCATAATTGTATATGAGTTTAACTATATTAAATTTAGATCTATTTAAAATTCAGTCTTAAAATTCAATATTTTTTGCACATCATTTGATAGCCCTTGACTCAGTATTAGTCTCATAGCCGATTCAAAAAATTAATGTTTATGGGGATATTCGGAGGGTCAACTCACTTCAGAAAAGTAATTAGGGTAGGTATATAATATATATATATATATATATATATATATATATATATATATATTAAAAAAAATCTGCAAGGAGTCCAATAGAAAAATAGAAACTTATTATCAATTTTCTATTTATTCTTTCAAGTTGACGTAGCAAAAACAAATTCCGACATTTTCTTTTCTTATTATAATAATGGAAGTATTATTATAATTTTATGAAGTAGTTGTTTTTTCTATTTGTCTTGTACACATAACATAATTTTATTTTCTACTATCATATTTTCTTATTTTCTTGTTTTTTATTGAGGACATTTGATAAGTTATCATCTTCTCATTTCCTAATAAAGCAGGAAGGACCTATGATGGTAGCAATGTTCAGGTCCATCGACAAGCATAATTTTTTTTCTTTTGAAAAAATCAATAATCATAAATCATTTATAGAAAAATAAATTAATTAAGAATTGCAGTAAACGTAATACATTTTTTGAAACAAAAACACTTAAAAATATACTTGTATTTTTGTTATATTGTTGATATAAATAAGAGTGTGAGAAATGAGATAAACTAATCTTAATCATTCAATCTTATATAAATTATTAATATTATATTTAAGTAAAAAAAGAAAAATAAAAAATATTAATTCAAATTCACACTTAATGGACTGAAGAGGTATTACTTGCCTAATTTAGTTCAAATCATGGTCTGCGTATAAAAATAATAATAATATTTTCTAAAAAACATAAGCAAAATGTGGGATATGCATACTCAAAATTGTCTAAAGAAAGACTTAATCTCAATTAACATAAAAACTATATTAAAATTACAATTAGAAAAAAAAGAAATAAAGAAAAACTCGCACTTAGTAACAAGTTGAGAAACATCAATATCTTCAAACTTCATAACTTGGAATACTCGATCGGCATCAAAAGCACATGAATG